AAATGATGATATCTAACATGACACCTTGTGAAATGAAATGTAACAAATGAACTGTACATGATATAGAAGCTTGTATCATTCATTGTGATCACAGAAACTGAGATAACAGAGTGAGAATTGTACAGTATACACTGCATAACATGCATGATTCCATGGTATACCGATGTACCCTTCTCCATGTTAGCATCTCGTGCATACGATACCTCAATTCTGTCCTCCATCTGTGCCATGTCCCAAATTAATTTACTCTGTACCAGTATAGGAAAAGGCACCAAATAGCATGGTCAGTTTTTTGGTAATTTGAGTGAAATTTAAAAGTCAAGATATTTTCAGCAGGCCTTATGAAGAAAATGATCGATGAGATTTCGTAGGAAGTGAGAGAACCACACGGCTTGTATTTGCCAATGAAATAGTGTACCAATCTCTCCCAGCATCGAGTCCACATACAATGTTAACATAGATTTGTGGAACAGTGGTCATGATAATGGAGAGACTGGAATACAAAACGCCTGGATCTCTCACTTTCAAAAAATCTTGATTGCCATTAGTTTCTAGGTTTATTCAGATCAAAAAATGTCTATTAACAAGTCTGAGGATGTTGTTACTGTTCTGTATCAACTTCAAATTTAATCTAATCTAATCTAATCTAATCTAATCTAATCTACTCCACTGTTAATCATAGAAAAATCTAATCTTGTTATACTTCTAATATCTAGTCAATCACTGATTAATATGATGCACCAAGCATACTCCATATGTGTCTGCTACATTACAACTGAAAGGTACAGCTAGTAATTATGCAAGAGTTAACTGACATCAGAACAATAGAGGGCGCAGTTTCAGAAGAAAGAGACACAGCAGAAAATTGCATGACGAAGAGTTGAAGTCTGATTAGAATTCAAGCCATATAACAGCTACATGTATGTATCAAATAAGGCAATCCGATGATGCAATCAACACAAAAAGGACAAACAACAAGTCACTAGTTTGAGGATGTATGTCATCCCTTTAGTGAGAACTAACGCAGACACGACATGGCGGGAATGAGGTAGAATATCATGATGCAGAATGCAGTTATTCAAATTATGTACACCCCCCCCCCCCCAATACCATGAACACATGCACCAGACAATTCTTACCCTGGTTTCCATGACTTTAGTTTGGAGCATTTTTTTATGATTTTGACTTAAAAGCATACCTTCCATGCATCCAGGATAGGTCAATGTATTTAAATTTTCTAAGCACTGGTCAAAAGAGTTGAATTAACAACTGAATTTAATTAATATAGATCATGCCAAAACTTTTTTAAACTACATACATGTAGTCAAATTCCATATAAATTGCAAAACATTCCAGGTAGGTTTCTGAAGTCTAAACTTCTAATGCTCCTAAAGCCATGGAATCAAGGGATACTGACAAATTCATGCTAAATACACAAAAGGTATAAGTTACAGCCAAAGTTTAGAATAAAGACTATATTACAGAACACAGTGTACAACATACCTATTACACATCCAAATCAAGAATGAAATGAGCTGCAACAATAGATTGGGTGATTTCATTATGCCCCTAGGGTAAAACATGAATGATGGACTACTTACCACAGGTTGAAATGATGAGGTTGTATTATAATTTGTCGTCATAGTAACTTCTTTTGGCAGGTTCTTAGCAGATAATGTGTAGGTTGTCATGGCATTGGTTATGGCACCACGGATTATGTTTTCCACGATATTCATGTCTACAAGGTCATCCTAGATGAGAATAGCATTAACAATTAGTAATTAAATTAATAAAAATCATTGTTAAACCAGAAAAGCATCAACTTAGTATGTGCCTTTGGGAAAAAAAATATAGCAATAACACAGGTTTTTCTAGAAAAAAAACTGCAAGAGAGAGCACTGCAATTCAGCGGAGCCACCAAGTGGGGGAGATACATGTAGGCTTCTCCCTACCCGGGTGAGGAGTTTTTGATAATTCTAAGTTAAAATGGAGCACTCTATGGCTTCCTTGGGGCCAAAATTACTATCAGACAGGTCACAGTTGAAGACTGTGGCCACATGTGACCCCTGGTCAATCAGAATTTTATGGTTGCCAGAAAATCTGTAAGGGGATGAATGGCCATGGCATGAGGGCGCTGCACACATATCAATAGTATCTTCATAGGGCAGATTGAAGATCTGATAGACTTTATTCTGTGTGCCCTCTGAGTCTCCATCACTGTGAGTTCATTTTTAATGCAGCAATGGTGTGATTGACTTGTACATGTATAAAATATGATTTTTATAAACTATGCTATGTGGGAAATGACCTAATGCCCAAGTAGTTTGCCTCAATGCCCTAAGAGTTTGCCTTAATGCCCAAGTAGTTTGCCTTAATGCCCAAGTAGTTTGCCTTAATGCCCTAAGAGTTTGCCTTAATGCCCAAGTAGTTTGCCTTAATGCCCAAGTAGTTTGCCTTAATGCCCTAAGAGTTTGCCTTAATGCCCTAAGAGTTTGCCTTAATGCCCTAAGAGTTTGCCTTAATGCCCAAGTAGTTTGCCTCAATGCCCAAGTAGTTTGCCTCAATGCCCTAAGAGTTTGCCGTAATGCCCAAAGAGTTTGCCTTAATGCCCAAGTAGTTTGCCTTAATGCCCTAAGAGTTTGCCTTAATGCCCAAGTAGTTTGCCTCAATGCCCTAAGAGTTTGCCTTAATGCCCTAAGAGTTTGCCGTAATGCCCAAAGAGTTTGCCTTAATGCCCAAGTAGTTTGCCTCAATGCCCTAAGAGTTTGCCTTAATGCCCTAAGAGTTTGCCTCAATGCCCTAAGAGTTTGCCTTAATGCCCTAAGAGTTTGCCTCAATGCCCTAAGAGTTTGCCTTAATGCCCTAAGAGTTTGCCTTAATGCCCAAGTAGTTTGCCTCAATGCCCAAGT